TTGAACAATTACCGGATGCTTTCGAATGCATTTGACGATATTAAAACGAGAGTCGGGATGTCCACGGGGTGTGGCAATCTTACCTTTATAAGATTTCCTTCGTGAAGGGTGCTCAATGATGGCCTCTTGGCTCGGCGACTCAATCTATAACACAAATCAACAAGAGACGCTTTTCTAAATTTCGCTAATTACAACTGAATTAAAAAAAAGTCAGCAATTAATTAATATTTAAACTAGGACCACTTGACAAGTCTTACATTTGCAATTATTTATAACTATTTGCTCATATTGTCATTAATATTTCATTAAGAAAACTAATAATAATTATTATTGAGCACGTATCAAATAAGAATATTTTTCGACAATATTTATCTTTGTATTAGAAGAAACTTATTTCATTTCCTTCCCTGTTCACGTATTATATTTCTGTATTTCTGAAACACGTGATATCTTTTCCTGAGAAGGCGTAGTATCCTATTTTTTGTATAGTGTCTGTCAAGGATGAAGGACACCAAGGACGAGCAGAAAAATCGATCAGAGGGATAGTATAGTACACTACGACAGTGGCGGAGAAAGTAAGTAGTAAGTCCCGTTATTAGTCAGACATCGGTATTCCCTGCGTACGCGCTACGTCCATGGTCGCATTGTATTTCATACACTTTTCATATTAAACACGTAAGATAGAATTGCAGATCAGGCTTAAATATTACAGCCAATAATTGGTCTGTTAATTATAGCCTGTCAATTTTACGTCTTTTTCAGTCGACAGGTAAAATTACCTCTCCAAGTTTTTCCATTGAAACGAGATCTTTAAATATCTAAATACCATTGCAATAGAAGCAGAAAGACTGTGAAACAGCTATCATTTAAATTATGAGGAAACATTCCACCGACATGTCGTGAAAGTAACTCTTTTTGTTCAGATATTAAAAGTAGACGTTCCTCGTTCTAAAATAAAAAAGGTACTTCATCCAAAGCAGAGACGACGAACGTGATTGCAATTTAGTTTCAAATTAAAATAAAATTCGAGACTGATGATTTTATGATAACATCTTATTATTATTTTATTATAAAATTGACTGTACAGACCTGTAGTGGTCCAGTCGAGGAACCACGTCCCATAGTCCACTAACGTTTAAAGTCATTGGTGACCTCTTGTTGTTTTGCTGACCACCGATTACCTCATCATCCATAGCTTTAATCGACTTTCAACCACACCTGGTCAAATCTGTAACAATCAACCAACAGTTAAATAAATAGTAATTGACTTCTGAAAAATTTTTTACTAATGCGAGATCTGAGTTTGAAGTCTGGTATTAATTAATGTTAAACAGGAAGCTCGATTCACGCGAGGACTTTTCGTAGAATAGGATCTTATCATAACTGACATGTGTTCATTGCTAATGGGAAAAGTACTCGATGTGCCAGTCACACAT